ACTACTACTACTACTACTACTTGTAACTACTAACTCCTATAGCGGCAGCGGCAGCGTCAGCATCAGCTGCAGCTGCAGCGGCAGCAGCAACAAAAGCAAATGAGGATGACGGGCGCCGGATCTGCCAGGAAAGACTTCTTCATCTTCCAACGCGGGAGAGACAAAGACGATGTGAATGCTCATTCTTCATGCAGCAGTGGATTCTGCATTCTGTGAGGCCGAGGCTGCAGAGTTGCGAGACTCCGAGCTCCCAGAACTGGAGGCCAACTGAACCCAAAGATCTGAGATTTCATCGCAGTGTTAGCTTCTCGCAGTCTTAGCTTCAAGTTTTGGCTGCTTCAAGGAAGAGGAACTTTTCGAAGTGCTTCAGTGCTCTCTCTGTCTCGTAGTCTGGGGAGTCAGAACTCGAATCCCTGAAATCTTCTTGGCTGCAGTGGTTGTTGCGGCAAATCCATTTTGTTGAGAATGCTGCGAGTGGGAGCGTGTGTAATGGGGGGGCTTCATGCTACTCTGTGCACTGTCTTTCCGTAGCCGGCGAGGGGCACTGTAGTGCAACAAAATAAGCTCCACGAATTTCAGCCCAGGAATCAAGGCTGGTCTGTGAATTATATTCCCAACGTATTTCTTTTGGCAACATGCCTCCCTGCGATCTGTGAGTTCGAAGAAAAGGCCCTTCTGTACAGTAGCTACAGCTCGTGCACAGGATCGTCTGCAGGCGGTTGAGTCCGCCCTGCAGATAGCTACAGGTGTGGCTGCTGAGGCGGAGTGTTCAAAGTTCTAGGATGGGAATCGGCGGCACGACCATGAGCGTACAGTTTCGGCATTTTGAGCCCATCCTTTTCCCTAGTGTTTTGAGCCCGCCGTGCCGCAAAGGATGAGGAGCGACGGACCACTGCCCAGGCATGGGAGTGGGAATGACAAGGGAAGGGCTTCAGGGATTTGATGCTCCATTGACGTCTCTGTTTCTGCGTTTCGTCGAAACCTTTCCCAGCATTTTCCCAATTTCATGAACGGCTCATGAATGGCTCAGCGGGTGGCCAGAGTATGTGGCAATTGTTTCCACTGGTGACCTGGCGAAGGCGAGGCTTCGGGAGGAGCTGGCATGTGCAGAGGCCAAGAGCTGTGCTAACTTTGCGGTGTGGCCTTGAAAAGCTTTTGCTCAGGCCGCGAAAGAATCCGGTGAAAAGCACCAGGAGCAGTTAGCAGCCGAGCTGCAGAGCTCGAAGCTGGATCTGGCTGAGCTGACGGCGGGGACGTGATGTCTTTTTGTGCCCGTTTCTCAGCAGGGTGACATGTCCGCTGCGCCAGGCTCGTTTGGAAGAAGCTGAACTAGCTCAGAAAGCTGTTTTGGAGGATGAGGCGGAGACCTTACAATCATCATGCCCGCAAGGTAATACAACAAGAAAGTTTCAATTCCTTTCGGATGAAGCCCACTCGTAGATAGCAATGCAACAGCTTGACGTGTGGCAACTTTGGACTATGCAGTCAGGCGCGCATGGGTCAGACGGATCAGCTTGAGAGGCAGGACGTGCAGGCGGGTGGATTGCAATACAGGGCTTGGTGCAGCAATGGAGATACCCGAAGTTGCAAACTATGGAGATTTATATTGTCGGATAATGCAGGCTCAGGCACAGTTGGAAGAGCTGCGCGCAGAGCTTTGCAAGGTGGAGGCAGAGTGCTGTTAGTCTGTCAGTCGATGGTTGTTTCTTCAGTTTCTCGGCACTTGCAGGCCGCGAAAGAATCCGGTGAAAAGCACCAGGAGCAGTTAGCAGCCGAGCTGCAGAGCTCGAAGCTGGATCTGGCTGAGCTGACGGCGGGGACGTGATGTCTTTTTGTGCCCGTTTCTCAGCAGGGTGACATGTCCGCTGCGCCAGGCTCGTTTGGAAGAAGCTGAACTAGCTCAGAAAGCTGTTTTGGAGGATGAGGCGGAGACCTTACCTTTTTGCAGTCCCTGACGTTGTGCTTCTACGAGTGGCTTGGGCAGGAATACTCCACCGAAATTTTGCGGTCTTTTTTTCTGGCACCTCAGGAATTCCTGCAACATCGGCTTGTTGAGCTGTCTGAGGCCCCGATGTGCAGCGGGCTAGAAGAGGCCCTAGCCCAGGCAGAGGGCACCGCAGCCGAGGCTCGCGTCCCAAGCCTTGCTGTTTCGCCTCTTCAGAGCTTTGGCCTCGGGGCTCGAGGAAACAGGAAGGCTCTGCGGGGACTCATGAGTCACGGGTGGAGAGGAAGAGTCACAGAATCGTACGCCTTAAAGGTGGCCGTTCGCAGTCTTATCCGGCCACTGAGTGCCTTCCATCTTCCGCAAGGCCGCGCAGGAGCTGGCGAGCTCCAAGCGGGAGCTTGTTGATCTCAGGGTCCCCCTGCTCAGCATGCATGCCGTTGGATTTTTGAGCCTCTTGACCTGGGAATCGTTGCAAGCAAAGTAGGCAGTCGCCCTGATCGGGAACAGACCTCGAAAAAGGATAGGTAGCATCGAGTGGGCACAGGAGCGCTTCGAAGACGTGGAGTACGCTCTGCAGATTGCAAGCGAGGCCGCGGCTGAGGACGCCTTCCGGAGCAAGGTGATCAGAACCTCCCTCTCCCTGTCTCTGCTCGCCGCGAGGATGGCGGTGCGGACGGGCCGGTGGGGGTTCGCGAGGCAGGGCCCGTGAACAACCAGATCGACAGCTTCATGATAGGTGTATGTCTTTTGTTTTGGGCTTGCTTGGGACACTTTCGCAGAAAATCCAGCACAGTTCAACTTCCTGTTCAAGCGATTGCGAAGCCCCTGGGGCGTCTCGAGATGGCAAGGCCCGCCGCCTCCGTGAGGAGTGCCTGGCGTTGCAGGCCCAGACGTGTTCTTGCAAGAGTTGTGAGACTGTTGTCCTTCTGGCATGATCATTTCCGTGCTTGCGCACTTTGACTCGATTCAGACGTGCCTGTTGTGCTCTGAGCGCCTCTGCTCCTTGCAGGCGGAGCTGGCCCAGGCCCATGCCCAGGCGGCCCAGGCGGCCCAGGCGCAGGAGCAGCCGGAAGGTGCGGGAACCATGTTGCAAAAGGGATCCATCTCCACAGTGACCAGGTGCTCCAGGAGTCCGGACGCATCGGAAAACTGCCGACTTCGGCGAAGGGGGGCCTCTCAAGGAGCTCGAGGTTGGGAAGTGCCTTCAGGAAGTTGCCTCTGTGTTTGAAGGGATGACCTTTTGGGGGCTGTGTCTCGGACAAGCTGCCTTTGTGCTCCTTGCTCGTCATATCCGCAGCAAGAAGTACGGCAGAGATCTCATCATCGAAGGACAGAGGTCCTAGTGGCCCTAATGCCTCAAGCTGCCAGGGCTTCAACCACGGCGCCGTGGTCAAGATGGTGTCCATCGAGGAGGAGCCCGAGGAGGCACAGCTCAAGTTCGCGCTCTTACTCGGATGAGGGCCCTGGTCAGAGAAAGAGGATCGTAGACAAACTATCGCAAACTGCCAGGCCACAAAAGACGATGCCTTCTTCAGCCCTGTCGAGGATGCCAGTGAAAAGCAAGGAGCTCAGGAATCTTCAGAGGGGTCTTTGCAGCTTCACGGAGACGAAGTGAAGTGTCGAACCAGCGACTTGAGTTTCACTTATTTCGAGTTAGGGGTTCATCTGCAATCGATGCCTCGTCGCGAAGCCTCAGCGAAGCCTTTCAGAACTTAGACTTGTAGCATGGTAGCCTTCATGGTCTGTGCGAATCCATGTCAGCCGAGCGATTGTCAACGTCAATTCCGCTTCAATGCGTTGCTCGAGGTCGCGTGGGGAAGGCCGAGAACGTGCCGTGTCGTTTGCACCCCCGATGCGGGTGCAGGTCTCAGCCAGGTTGTCTGAATCTTGGAATTTTGCATGCGACATGCCAGAGTATGACGACGCAAATCCACCAACACTGGTTTTTTGAGGTGAAGGTCGAAGATGCTACGACTGCCGACAGGACCTTTCTTCCTTCAACACAACTGACTCGGAACTCGTTTCAGAGTCGACATGAGCTACCACGTGTGGTCAGTCTCTTGCTCAGCTAGCCTCACCCTGCATTTTCGTGATACGAGCAGCAGGAATCCCTTTGAAGACGACTCTGCATCAGAAGAAACCGCGCGCGGTGAGGAGAGGGCAAGGATACCCCACTTATTTCACGAAGCTTCATGGCCCGATCTTGGACTGACCAAGACAAGGTGGTCTCCTGAAGTTTGATCTGAGCCGTTCAGCATCCGTCAGCCCTTCTGGGTTCTTGCTGAGCACACCACGAGCATGCTCAGCGCACGACATTTACTGTAGACTCAGTATGCGCATGGAGTTTCGGCTCCCTCCAGGGCCCAGCACCGTCCAAGCACTTTTCAACTAGATTCGTTGCTGGTGGACAAAGGAGTCGCCTGTGATGATTGCGGGTCACATCCCCTCCGGAGGCAAGGAGCCTCTGCAGAAATTGCTGTATCGTGGCCGTCTAGATCTCGCGCACCATCGTGCAGCCATGTCACTCCATACCAACGAAGCAGGTGGCTCCTTCGGTACCCCGAGCGGCATCATGCCTCCGCCCCGGTGAGAGGGCGACGGCGGCCTGTGGATGTTTGAGCCAACACGAACTGCTCCTTCGATGTCTCCGATGGTCTTTGGGAGGGGATCCACAAGCCTCTTGCGTCCACGAAACTTTCAGGCCAGCGTCCATCACGACGCCTCCAACACAGGACATGCTCAGACTCTGCAGGGGCATCTCCAAGCAAGTGCAACTGGTAAGTCGTTGCACATCCGTGCTACAAGGACAAGACAGCGCTGCTGCAAGAGCAGCTGAGCAAAGAGGCGCTCCTCTTGCCTACGCCGCGACATTTGTTCAGCCCGAATGACCTGAAGTCGATTTCTGCCAGGTCTTTGAGTTGCGGCAAGCATTGCGCTCCGAAGAGGCCGCCTATGTGCGGGCCTTAGTGCAGCGTTGGTTCCGTTTGGGTTACTTACAAACAAGCAAGTCCGACAGAATCGATGAATCATACATCGAATCAACGAGCACCCGAGCGAACCCATGTGCTGCACATCCTGTGCGCAAGAAAGATCAAGAAACCTTGAGCCGTATGTTGCAGCACAGAGCACCTGCCCAAGGCGGCCGAGCGCGCCAAAGCCGAAGCCAGTGCATCTGCCGCGGTCCGAAGCCCAGGCTTCCAGGCTCTACATGTCCCAGTGTTTGAGCTCTACATGTGTGTCGGTCTGTTGAATCAGGTTGAATCATGTTGGACGTTAGAGGTACCAGGTGTGACGTCAGCCCCATAGTGTGTTTTTGTTTGAGTCATTTTTTGGATTTATATCGTGATGCACGGTCGAGCACTCATGGCATCTTCCATGTTGCAGAGCGAGCTCACCTACCAGCAACCCTTGGACTTCAGGCCTGACGAAAAGGCTGTTGAAACATTTTCTAACCTTGTCAAACTCCAATCTCTATGGCGCTGCAAATCCAAGGGACAGCAGCCGAACGCCGGAGAGGCGTCGGCAGAGATTGCGAGGCAGGATGTTTCTATGCTTAGGCTCAGAGTTTGCCAGAACCGCCCCCCTCTGAACGTCAAGACCGAGGAGCCTGTTCAAGTCAGCATGGCAGGAGGCTGCTGCAGCAGCCCGCAGCAAAACACGCAAACCTAGCCGCATTTCCAAGCGATCTCAGTGCGGGATCCCCAAAGCTCAGGCTTCCAGAGCTTGCCAGGGGCAGTCGTCTTGCCTCTTTCATCTCTTTCCAGGCTGCGCAGCCTCCTGGACGAAGAGAAAGCCCGCAGCCGGGAAATGGGCACGATCCCGAGAGCTTGCCGGATGCGTGTTCTTTGTATTTACTGTTCTAGTGCAAGATGTCGGCGACTGGTGGGCTTCAAGAGACATGTATCGTGAAAGCCATGAGAGCCTGATACAGGCATTAGCGATGCTACACCAAGTCCTGCACAAGGGCCTTCGAAAACCGCCGCATGACCAGGGGAGGCAGCAATACGCGCCGAAAAGCTGCGGCGCAAGCTGCTCCTGGAAGTTGCGGAGGTGCTCTGGTTTCTGCTCGGGTTCGCACATCAAAGGCAGAGGGGCTTAGGGACGGATCAGCTGGACAAGAAACTGGGCTGGCAAGAGGACAGCAAGATCAATGTCGAGTTTGTGGCAATTGCGAAGGCCGTGGAGCTGGGTGCCGTGTGCATGCGCTATAGCTCATTCAGTATGCACTTGTCAACGCATTGTTGTTTGCCCGTGGTGCCTGAGCGGATCCTCCAGATTCAACCATGAGCTGCAGAGCATTGCAGAGCCCCGGGCCCCATCAGATGCCAATAAGCCCTGCCATCCCTCAGCTTTCCATCTGGTCCGGTGACTTGGCGCTCAACTTCCGCAGGCGGTTGGCCGCACGGCCAAAGCGATTGCCAGCATCTCGCAGGAGGCTCCAGCTCTTCCGGGCTAGAGCATCTGAAGGAGTCGGCTGCCAGTTGGTTCTACCGTGCTTGCTGTAATGGATTTGCTTGTCCAGCCGCTCAGGGTGCTGAAGCTCCGCGACACCAAATCCATACAATTAGAGGAACTCCTGAATGCTAAGCCAAGTGACGCCAGAGATGTCTGCCAAAAATCTTACGAATTTGGTTCTGCCACACGACGAAAGGCGATGAACTTGATTACCACATTTCTATTCACATTCTTGGGCCCTGGTGCGACAAAGCCCTGCATTGTCCTGCATACGAGGATGCATACCTGTAGACTGTAGACTGCTCATAGGCCCCGACGACATCACAGGAAGTCACATCGCATCGAACGAAGATAGAAAAACACTGCACATCACCTACAGCAAGTAGATGCATGTGCCAAACACTTGAGGTTCACAACCCGTTGTCGCTAGTATTCAGATCCGAGTTTCCCCTGGATGAATTTTTCACGATTACAGGTTGATGCCCGTGTCTATTGCGACAGTTGCGGTGAGACCATCATGTCTCAGGCACCCCACTTGAGCAAGCTTGCCAAGCTGCCCCTCCTGCCTCCGCCGGCCCGTGGGATGGGACGAATGTCTCTTTAGAGGTTCAAGGCTCCGGGTTTGCAGTTCAAGTGGGATACAGTCGTGGGAATGCAGGATCTCCTGCATATCGCAAGTTCCAGTCAAGTCGAGCGATCCGTTCTCTTCGTTGAGTGGCTGGCCAGTGAGGTTCTCCTGACATACCGATGATGTTTGTCCTCATTGTTTGTCCTCAATCACGGTGCATCGTCCTCGTTGCGACTTCGCCGGGTCGCGTGTCACCTCACGAGGCGGCTGCGGTCTCTCCTCGAGAGCTCGCGGCTTCTGCAGCGTCAAGGGGGCCTTCGGCGGTGCCTTCGGCGGTGCCCTCGGCGGTGCCCTCGGCGACACCTTCGGTGCGCTCGGAACCCTCGAAGTCGCCGCGGTCGCCACGATCGCCGCGGTCGCCCAGGCCAGGACGCACACGGACGCACACAGGACAGAGAGATAGCGGTGCGTGCGAGCAATAGGCTTTGGAAGGCAGAAGTATCTTGTCAGAACCTCATCTAACCCAACTTGGAAGCTCCAAACTCGGCATCCTGGCGAAGGCTCCAGCGGCTCCCGGCATCACCTGCGGTCATGGCGAAGGTGCTTCCTGGATGTAAGGGGCTTGCAACAAGAATAATAAGAAGAATGACAAGACTTGCTAGCGGCTTCCTCGAAGCCACGAAAGGTGTGAATCTAGCACAGAGATGGCTTTCGTTATTGCTTCAACAGAAATGCATTTTTTTGCGGAGTCTTACGCAGGCTTTTTTGCCTTCTCCGATGCCAATACAAACGAGCAAAAACTAGTTTGCAACAGCGCACAAGGTTTTGTGCACTTATTACAGTCGAAACCCCTTTATGTTTTCAACTGACATGTTGGCCCGAAGCCCTGCAGAACAGGCCGAGGCTTTCTAGATGGATGGCTCCATGCGCCACAGCAGGTCCTAAACAGATAATGCATGTGTATATATGTGTGTGTGTGTGTGTATCTGTATACTGTATAGATGCACCTATATATATATATATA